AGTATTGCTGCCTCCCAGGAGTCGCGGAAAATCTCCGAGAGGCGAGCAAAGAGATGGCTCAGGCTCTTGGCTTGGCAGCACTTCCTACGGTTGACGATATAAACCCTGCATTCTCAGAGACTCCAATATCCCTTAATTAATGCATATTCCATCTATCATACTGTACAAAGGGTCCTACTATGATTTAAGGTCTATTCCTTAATTAGGAGATGTTGGAGTCTCTGCATTACCCAGAATAAGGAATACCATAATTCCCATACCAAAAGTTTAAGGTCATTAAGGTAATGCAGGATTTACATCATCAGCCGTAAGTTCCCCAGTATCCCCTTGATAGTGAGCGTAGCCTTCTCCTGGCTTTCTATTTTGAGAAGGGAACCCTCAGATTAACGAGCAGGTAGCTTAAACTCGCTTCTTCAATAATCGGGCCCAAGAAAGCTCAATCTTTCCAAGATAGACCAATACACAAGGCCAAAAACCCTCAAACCCCAAACCCTGCACCAAAACCCAAACCCTACTCCCCAGATCCCCAACCACCCCTGAAAGAACCCCAACATTCCATGAGCTCGAAGACCAAAGACCTTCATGATATCACCTTCCCCAAACCCCAAACCCTAAACCCAAACCCCTAAGCTCTAAAGCCTAAACATTCAAAACCTAAACCCACAAACCCCCAAACCCAAGAGCGCGAAGACCTTCACTTTATCATCTTCCCTAAACCCAGCCTCTATACCTCTGCATCCGAGAGCCCGAAGACCTGAGGTTTCTTTTAGGGCTCCTTGAAGGGATCTGTAGGGCTCCTTAAAGGGATCTGTAGGGTTGCTGACAGGAATCTATTACATCCGAGAGCCCGGAGACCTGGGATCTTCGCCCATTTCCACTCCCTTCGGAGGCGCCGAGCGATGACCAGAGAGAGCGTAGGGTTCAGGGGTTTAGGGTTTAGGGTTTAGGGTTTAGGGTTTTTGGTTTAGGGTAGAGGGTTTAGGGTAAGTAGGGTTCATAGGGGTTCCTTTAAAGGGATCTATAGGGATTGAATAAGGGTACATAGTTGAGGTTATAACTACCCCTGAACCTCCAAGGAGAGAGCGTAGGGTTCAGGGCCTGTGTTGAGTCTCGGGCTTCGGGTTTTAACGATGAAAAAATTTTAAAGACAAAAAATAGGCTTCGGGTTGAGGGTTTAGGGTTGAGGGGTTGAGGGGTTTAGGGTTGAGGGGTTTAGGGTTGAGGGGTTTAGGGGTCAGGGTTGCGGGTTGAGGGGTTCAGGGTGTAGGGGTTAGGGTTGAGGGTTTAGGGGTTTCGGGTTGAGGGGTTTAGGAGTTGGGGATGTTTGGGGACTAATTCTCCAAAAATGACCCCATTTCATACGCATTCTGCAGGCTCTCAGGCTTCTTGTAATATCAGGGATTCGGAGCTCCTGAATGCTTAGGGTCTCTGTGGCGCTCGCGAAAAAGGATCCTACTGTTCAGGATGGGTTTACCTTAACCCTGAATAACTTACCTTTTTAAGAACTTATATAAGGAAATCGTAATGAGGAACCCTAAAAAGATAGGTTATTCAGGGTTAAGGTATGGCTTAGGGCCCAGGGCTTAGGGTTTAGGATTTATATCACGGTCCCTTATTGGCTGAACCTCCGACATGCTAATAGCATCAGGAGACTTTGCAAGCACTTTAAGGAAAAGGGCACTTAGTTCTGCAGGCTATAACCAAGGTAACTATCTAGGGCGCCAAAAAAGCACATAAGCAAAAATTAGGATAGGGATATTCCATATAAACCCCCTTATACTGAAGCCCATTAAGGTAGGGATATCCCCATAAAATGCTTATGCTTATGTGCTTTTTGGGTCCCTAACTATCGCTAATTGCATCACATGTTGTCGTCACTCTGAATACGGTACTTATGAGCCTCCCCGTCCGACCTGCGAACTCCCCTTAATTATCTTAGCCCTGAACCCCTAAAAACCCTGAACTCCAGGCCTTAAGCCGCAAATCCAAAATCCTAAACCCTTTGCGTTGTGAGCTTGAGGATTTCTGGTTTAGGATTTAGGGCTTGGAGCTTGAACTTAGGGTTTGGGTCCAGGTTTTGGGGTTGAAGGGTTCGGGGTTTCCCGTTTAGCCAGGATGTTTAGAGCTTATGGGGGTCACTGCCCTACCTAAACCCTAACCCTAAACCCGAAAGTCTGCGACCTTTTGCCGAAACCCTCAACCCTGCCCCTAAACCCTATACCCTAATATGGGGACCTTAATTAAAAATCAGAATGAATTAGAATAAGGTTTGGTGGTATATTATACTATATTCATAATAAGGATCCCCCAAGATAGTATAGGAAATTATGAGGCCCCTATATTAACAAACTCTCGACCCTTGGCCTAAAGCCTTAGTTTGAGACTCTCAGCTCCCAAAACGGCCCCAACCCCACACCTTTAGGGTGTAGTTCTGGGCTGTAGGGTTTCGAGTTTTGGGTTTTAAGGTTCAGAGTTTCGCGTTTTAGGGTGTAGAGTTTGGGGTTGAGGGTTTTGGGTTGAGAGTTTGGATATTAGGCTTGAGGGATTTGGGTTGAGGGGTTTAGGGTGAAGAGCCTAGGGGTTTTGGGTTTACGGTTTTGGGTCGAGGATTTTGGGTTGAGGGTTTGGGCTTAGGGTGTAGTGATGGTTTGTGCAGGGCTAGATATGGGTAGTTGTCAAAATTATGGGCCCTTCTTGCGTACGCTAAATATTAGGTGCCGTATGAAAATAAGGACCCGAAAAGGGACCATAAGTTTGACAACCGCCCATATAAGCTTGAGGCTTCACGGTTTTAGGGCTGTAGCCCGGCACTTCAGGGATCTGCTCTCGATACGAATCGCCCGGAGTGTGGCACCAGCTCCCTGCTCTCCACGGCAACTGCTGGTGGACAAAATCCATAGTCTACATCAAAGAATACACCGCATGTCGCATAGTAACAGGAAAGTCAGGCAGCGCCTGCTTTTTGTCCATCAACAGCAGGATTATAACAGAAGGATTAAGTCATTACAACACAACTAAACAATTCCAGCCTGACGTGCCCCACCCAAAGGGAGCCGCAATGAAGACATGAGTCTTAGGGTTTATTTAAGGGTTCGCATTTAAGGTTTTGGGTTTAAGATTCAGGGTTTGCATTTTTGGAGCTTCGGGAGAAGGGAACTCATGGTGGGCGATTTTTGTCACGATTGCGGCTCTCTGTTGGGCAGAGACAGCCTCCACAGCAACCTGCCGTCCATGCCCTCATAGTCACATGGCTGGCTTGCCTGAGCGAACTAACTAGGTTCCGGAGTAGCCCCTTTATACGGTTGATGATATAAATCCTGCACTACCTTAAGGACCCTAAACTATGGGGTATATTCCTTATTATGGGTAATGCAGGATTTATATCATCAACAGTAAGGTTGCCATTCTTCCCACTATTCGGCGTTGATAATTGGACCCTAAGATAATCGGGAACCTCGCAAAACTGGGAGGCTCTAGGACTACGTCGGCAAGCTGCTCAACCAAACGAGTTATCCGAGATCCCAAGACTAGGGTTTAGGGTTTCCGGTTTCGGGTGTAGGGTTTAGGGTATAAGTTGTGTAGGGTTTAGGGTTTACCGCCTGGGCTAGCAAAAAGGGTAGGAGTTGGCTTCGCCGTTTATATGCACGAGATTGACGATACTGGTTCTACGTTGCCAAACTCAGCATGGTCCTGGAAAGCCCCTCCACCACACACTGTACTGCCGTTTAGGGGTTAGGGTTTAGGGTTGCCATGGGACCCGCGAGGAGGTTTAGAGTTTAGAGTTACGGTTTCAGGCTCCGGAGTCTTTCCGGGCTTACTATACTGAACTTAGAACCCTAGCAAAAAATGTAGTTTCAGCTGTTTCTTAGGGATTATAATAACCAAAAATTAAAAAATATTTCTAAGGTACCCCTAAGCTTCCGCTAGGCAGCTGCTGGGAGTACGTAGCACTGCTGTGGAGTCTTCTCAGGCTCTGGCTTCGGATCAAGAGCTCAGAGTTTAGGGTTTAGGGCTTAGTTTTTGTTTTTAAGTGCAATGGCTCTTTCTGCTCTGCATGAGAGTAAGTCGAGCCCACCTCAAGGGTCTACACTGAAATAAAAGAAAGAAAGCCCACTCAGACCATGCCCTTCTCGTTCATTTATGCTTCATCTCGACTTCGACTTCTGTCACCACGACCAGGGTTTAGGTTTAGGGTTTAGGGTTTAGGTTTTTTTTGAGCTCCTTTTTCCCAGAGGCCGCATCCGGTTTAGGGTTTAGGGTTTCGGGTTTAGGGTTTAGGGTTTAAGGTTGAGGGGTTTTGGTTCCCGTAACAATTAGTCGGTAGTATTATTTGTCCCTCACTTTAGCTCAACATTCTTCAGGCCACAGATGAAGACCTAAAGAAATCCCCGAGACACCTTGAACCCAAACCAAAATGCCGCGCTCGATCTCGAAGGTCCGCGACACACAACTCTAGGCCCTGGAGCTCTGAACCTCTTGCCCGAAAACTTAAACGGCAGACCCGAAACTCAGCCCACGCCGAGGTCCCCAACGCCTCTGCCCCCAAACGGCCTCATCCTATCGTTCCGAAATCCCTGAACCCTGAAAGCCTCTATTTTAGGATTCAGAGCGTAGATCTTTAGGTTTTGCGGTGTAGGGTTTAGTTGGGGCTTAAGCAGGTTTGGGAGTTTGGGTGCGCCACGGGACCCCTAGACCCTAAAACCCCTAAAACCCGGCTAAACCCCTAAACCCTAACCCTACATGATTAAAGCCTCAGCCTTCAAGCCTTAACACTTCCAGCCTCTTCCAAAAAGAAAGACCACATGCAACTCTCGGCCCTCTCGGCTTGGCGCCCATAATTATCGTAGAATCCCACAGATCCCCTGCTATGGGCGCGAGTACTTTGGGGCTTAGGGTTTTGTGGTTTGGGGGTTCAGGGCCCGAAACCCTAACCGTAGTTTAGGCTTCTGAGTTTAGGACCTACATGCAAAGCCCTTCGCCACCGGCCTGGGCTAGGACTGTCAGTGAGGCATACCCGGCAAGATTGCTTCGAAGTCCTGCATGGCTTGGGGCGCTTATGGTCAAGATTCCGAGAAAGGGGGAGAACACAGTCAAGACTGCAGATGGATAAGGGTCCGCAGAAACAAGCCAGATTTTTCGAAGAGGGATTTGAAGAGCCTTGACAACTCGTTTACCCCTAAACCCTAAAGCCTAAAGCCTAAACCCTAAACCCTAAAGCCTAAAGCCTAAACCCTAAAGCCTAAACCCTAAAGCCTAAAGCCTAAACCCTAAAGCCAAAACCCTAAACCCTAAATCCGCAACCCTATAGTTGGCAGAAACTCCGGGGGCTGCGGGCTTCACTTACTGTTGAGGATCCCTTTTCGGAAGCTCTAAACTCTAAACCCAAAGCCCTTTATAGAACCCTTATAGATTCCTTTAAGTAACCCTTAAAGGATCCCTTTAAGGGATCCCTTTAAGGGACCCCCTACGTTTCGGAAACTCCCAAATCAACCCAAAACTCCGAACCCTCGGGGGTTTCCTCTACCAAAAGGTTAAGGGTTTCGGGTTCGGGGTTTAGGATGGGTGTGGGGTTTCGGGGCACAGAGCGCATAAGGCACGCAGAAGCCACAGCTTTGTAAGAGTTCTTCCACTCCACCGCCCATGAAACCAGCCCAAAAAAAACCTAAAGCACTGAAGCTTTAAAGGCCCAAAGCCGTAAATCCCTAAAACCATAAAGACCGAACAAGGACCTCTTGAAGGTTGGTTCTGGTGTCCACCAGAAAGGCATTTCGGGTGTAGCTCACAGGCTTCCAGCTTGTAGTCGGCCAGGCCAACATGCGGTGGTGCTTGGAACCGCCTTGATGTCCCTGGCTTTTGAGGGCCAAGACGAAGGACGCCATGGAAGCTGGACTGACCTCGACCACCAGTTGGCACAGGAGTTGTAGGCCCTTGTGGTACGGCACTTTCGCCGCCGTCGCAGCAGCTGCGGCTGCAAAGAACTGCGCAGTTGCCACCAGTAGCTCCAACAGTGCTGCGCACTGTTCCATCTTCAAGCTACTGCTGCGACTACGACTACGACGTCGAAAACGACTACGACGACGACGACTACTACTACTGCTACTACTACTACTGCTGCTACTACTACTACTACTCAGAAACCACAATCCCGCTAACCTTGCCAGTGCAGTGCCTTATGGGGGCCCGGGGTCTGTGCCATGATGATGTGCATCTAGACCCTCAACCCTAAACCCTGAATCCTAAGCCCTCAATCCATAATCCCTAAACGCCGAAACCTAAGCCATGAACTTCTCAGCCCTTCATCCTGGACCCCTTAACTCTGAAGTCTAAAGGCGCCAACCCTACAGTAGAAGCCCAAAAGTTGGAATTCCAATAGCCTCAATCCTTAAGAGTAATGTATAGGTATTCCCAGCACTATTTGGCCTTAATCCGGTTTCCAACTTTATGGGGTTTACTGTAAATGATGGCAGGCCAAAAGGGGAGTTTAAGATTTTTCTTGGGGTAGGGATTCCTTAATACGAATCCTATTATAGGAACCCTAATCCCTACTAAACCCTAAATTCTACAGAAGACGTTCGGATTCCGAGAGAGTCATGGGCCTTCAGCAGCCTAAACCCTAAACCCTAAACCCTAAACCCTAAACCCTGAGGCTGATCGAGCCCAGCTCTTAGGTTCCTCATCCCCTAACTCTTGGCTTAGTTCCCCGAGACTCCAATATCCCTTAATTAAGGAATACCTAGGGCTCCTTAAAGGGATCCTTTAAGGGATCTATAAGGTTTAGGGTTTAGGGGACTCCAATATCCCTGGACTAAGGAATATACCTTAAAGTATAGTAGGGATCCCTAATATGATCTAAGGTATGTTCTGAGATTAAGGGATATTGGAGTCTCTGGCAGTCCCAGACCCCCGGGAGGATCTAGAAAGTAGATCCCCTAATTTGGGGCCTATTCTGCGAAGGGTACTTTGTAGGAACGCCCATTAAGGGATCTACTTTTTGGATCCTCCCGGGGGTCCGGGAAGCGGGCCCAAAGCCTAAACCACCAACGGTTTAGAGTTCAGGGTTTAGGGTTGAAGGGTTTTTTAGGGCTTGGGGTGGCTCTGCGCTTTTAAACACTATAAGGGTTGCTATCTATAAAGGCTTCCTGTAAGGGTTTACTCTAAGGATTGACGAAAAGGAATCTCTACGGCATCAAAGGGGTCCGCAAGAGGTCAAACCCTCAACCCGAGACGCGGACCTCGACTTCCATGGACTGGACACCTGCAGCTCGCGGCACGTCAGGTTTGGGCATCAGCGGGGATGGGGTCACGGTTTAAGGTTTAGGCTTAGACTTTAGCCTTTCGGCTGTAGGCCCTGGGCACTAAGGTTCAGGGTTTAGGCCTTAGGGTTGGGGGTCAAGGGGTTTGGGGGTTTTGGGGCTTAGGGTTGCAGGGCTGGTGAAGGGTGATAAGGTCTTCAGGCTTGCGACATTCAGGGTTTATGGTTCTTGACCTTCGGGCTTTCAAGATATGGGGTGTAGGTTAGGGTGAAGGATCTGCATCCCGAAACTCTAATCCCTAAACCTTACTGTTGTAACCCAAATCCGTAAACCCTTACGTAATCCTTAAACCCGAACCCCAAACCCGAAACACTAAACCATGAGCCAGAATTATTTAGTTAATCCCTGACGCCTGATCCCGAAACCCTAAGCCTTGATCCTGAGCCGTAAGCCAAAGGCCCTATATCCTAAACCTCAAGCCTTAAACCCTAGAGTTAAAGGACCCCTAAACCCTAAACCCTAAACCGTCGTGGCCAAGTTGCGCTTGCGGCGGGTGGCCTCGCCGGCCGAGGGTTCAGGCGTTGATCCTGCAGCATAAACTTAGAACTATTAGCTTAGGGCTCTATAATAAGAAACAACTGATTTGGGAAATTAATGAATATTCCTTAAGGTCATATTTGGGATCCTACTAGAATTTACAGGTATACCTTAACCCCAAGTAACCTGCCTTTTTCAGGACTTATATAAAGAAATCATATTAGGGAACCCTAAAAAAGGTAGGTTCGTTAGGGTCCAGGTAGAACAACTGTCGATTTCAACCGTCTCCAAAATTATCTAGAATTAGCTTAGGGCTCTATAATAATAAACAGTTGGGAAATTCACAACTTTCCCAAACCGATACTTAGTAGATGTCCAGGAGGCTAGAGGGACTGAAGAGTAACCGGGTAAACTGTACGATTATGTCGAAAGTAGAAGCTATCGGCACCTAGAGCAGTAGGCCCACGATGCATCAAGGCATTAGGGGCTTAAGGTGATCGGGTCGAGGGTAAAGGGCTTTGAGTAACCGTCTACGGCCTGTTTGAAGGATCGGAAGACATAATGTCTTTGGTTGGAAGAAATGCGAAGGAGTGTGAAGCGTAAGAGCACGATGCCGCATGTGTGCGTTTGTGTGCACACTATCACTGTGCACATCCTCATGTCTCTCAGCCGGCATGGCACCTTTCAAGCACGACAAGTAGGTTTGGGGACACTTTACAGACACCATAAGTACTAGAATCCTCCTCAGAACGACCCCTGAAAACGGATATTCAATTTCCCGCGACTCTCACCTACACCCTCCATCCTCAAACCTACTCTGCGGCATCCCCGATCGATGCCTGCGTGGTCTTCTGCGGCATCGCGGTCGCGGACGCCAATTCTAAAGGGCTCCTGCGTTGGCAATAACCCTTGAACTAATGAGGTTGGGTTGTTTGTTACACAGGGTTTAGAAGGCTTAAACTAACCCTAAACCCTAAACCCTAAACCCTCTAAACCCTAAACCCTAACACGAGTTGGATACCTTGAATCATTGTCGAAAGGCCTCCGCAATTGAAGCTAGATATCGTACATAAGGTCTGTCGGGCGCCCGGTGTGCATCGGGAAAGGCCGGAGGTTCCTCTTGTTGAACTCGGGTTCCTGTTTTTGTTAAGGGTGTTTAGGGTTTAGGGTTTTAGGGATTTAGGGCTTTAGGGGTTTAGAGTTTAAGGCTCAGGGTTTAGGGTTTAGGATTGATTCAGGCTGCCTGAGCGACACCCCAGCTTTAAGCTTCCACCTGTGCCAGTTCTCCTGGCTCTGACTGCTCCCGCGCGGGGTGGTTAGGGTTTTTGGTTTAGGGGTTTAGGGTTTATGGTTTAGGGTTTATGGTTTAGGGTTTATGGTTTAGGGTGTAGGGGATCGCCCAGCAAGATGTCAGGCCATCGCCATCAGCCCGTTCTTCTGGCCAGTACGTCTTCAAGGCCTGATCTGCTGTGTCTTCTGCCGGCTCCAAGCTTTCAAGAAAGACGATGGTCGACTCCCAGGTATCAGCGAAAGCACCCGGAGAGGCACATCTTTTTGTGGAGACAGCAGACTCCTCCAGAGACAAGTAGTCCTGTTGCCCCAGATGCGTTTCGACGTTTCTGAAAATGCCGGCCCTCCATACTCTCATCTCATCCGACAAGTTGGGAACAGGGCTTCTCATTCTCGTCGCACCCAGGATATGAGCAAAGTCTGACACCCGAACGCTGTTCGGTTTAGGGTTTAGGTTTTAGGGTTTAGGGTTTAGGGGGCTCCGACTCCCAGCCGCCGGCCTGGTCTCCGTGGTTTGGGTGCGGAGTTTGGGTGCAGGGTTTAGAGTGCTTCAGGGTTTAGGCGTTTAGGGTTCAAGGTTCAGGATCTAGGATTTAGGTTTAGAGTGCGGCTTGAGGATCTTGGTTTTCAGGATTGGGTTTGGGGTTTAGGGTTTAGGGTTCAAGATTGGGTTTGGGGTTTAGGGTTTAGGGTTTAAGGTTCTGGATTGGGTTTGGGGTTTAGGGTTTAGGGTTTAGGGTTCTGGATTGGGTGTGGGGTTTAGGGTTTAGGGTTCTGGACAGGGTTTGGGGTTTAATGGTTTTGGGTCGGGACGTCAGGTTTAAGTGGGTTGATCAAACCGGCCCCCGGTACTCACGTGGGCGGTTGTCAATATTAGGGTCCCTTTTCGGGCCCTTATTATAATACGGAACCCAATATTAAGGGTACCCAAAAAGGGACCCTAATTTTGACAACCACCCACGTGGTTTTCGGCTTCCCCAGATGTGGAACCGCGGCTCGTGCAGAATTCGGAAACCGCCCGACTGGCCACCAAAAGAACAGATCCCCCAAACCTGAACCCTGAACTCCTACTGTTGATGATATAAATCCCTAGGGGTTCCTTTAAAGGGATCTATAAGGGGTACCTTTAAGGGGCTCCTTTCAGGGATCTATAGGGGGTTTAGGGTTTAGGGTTGATGATATAAATCCCGCATTGCCCATAATGAGGAATATACCATTATTCCCATAGTTTAGGGTTCTTAAGGCAATGCAGGATTTACATCATCAACCGTACATCCTGGAAGCCCTGAACCTAAACCCCTGTCTCGGCAAACCCTAAACCGTAGACCCTGCGAACCTACAAGGCTCTAGAACCCACACAACTTGAAGGATCATCGGACTTAGTAACTAAGCTTCTTATTAGGGTAGCTATACTTATCACTGCTTACAACCCCAATTAAGGCACTTACAGCCTTACTTACTAAGTCCCATGATCCTCCAAGTATCGTTCGCCGATGCCTCTGACTAGATTCTAAGCCCTACCCTGACTCCTGCCGGTGACATCCGTAAACCCTACACTCCTTAAACGGCCCTAAACCCTGAAGAACCCTCGCAGAACCAGCCCTTATTGAAGCCCCATAGAACCCTCACAGAACCTCATAGAACCCTCACAGAACCCTCGTGGAACCCTCATAAGAACCACGAAACCCTAAGCCCCAAAGGGGAGTTTCCGAAAATTAGGGTACCTTATGCATCCTACTATTTAAAGGTACTATATTGGGGTCCCCTATTTTCGGAAACTCCCATTTAGAACCCTGAAAGAACCCTCATAGAACCCTCATAGAACAATCATAGAACAATCATGATAGAACCCTCATGGAACCCTCATAGAACCCCTAAACCCTAAACCCTAAGCCCCATATAGAACCTCACAGAACCCCTAAACCCTAAGCCCTAACCCTAAGCCCCATATAGAACCTCACAGCACCCCTAAACCCTAAACGCAAAGCGCCAGAAAGAACCTCGTAGAACCCTGATAGAACCAGGACGCAGCGCAGCTCCTCCGCCCTTGCCTCGTCGGCCCGGGCCGCCTTCACTCCAAAAGGCCGTGCAGAGTTTAGGGTTTTGGGGTTTAGGGGTTTAGGGGTTTAGGGGTTTAGGGGTTCGGGGTTCAGCGTTTAGGGTTTAGGGGTTTAGGGGTTCAGGGTTTGGGGTTTAGGATTTAGGGTTTGGGCGTACGTTTCAGGGTGTCAGGGCGCTGCTTTAAAGGATTTTTTGTGGTTCCATAGGGTTCTGGCGGGTTATTGGGTTTTCGACTGAGGCATATACCTGCAAAAATACAATTTTCCACGATTTCAGGGCTCGGGCTTGTTCAGAGTTCATCCGGACTTGTGTGGTCGGTCGGTCCACGGGCAACGAGGCTAACGATGCGGGCCTCTATGCCTTTTGTACAGTATCAGTCCGAGACAACGCTTCAACGAAATTAAGCACCAAATTAACGAGCCGACATCAAAGAAACGAATTACTCACGACGAATTAACAATGAATTAATATCTCACAAGTCAGGTCGGAATGACAAGTTTGGCCTCTTTACCGATGTCTTCGTGGATAATTGCCTACGGAGGTCGACAAAAGCCGCGTGGAAACAAAAGGACTCATGACATGGCCTGCTTGTCAAACCGGGTGTGCGCTGCGACCAGCTCAACTTTGCCGTCGAAGCGGTGGTTTTGACTTTGACATGTGGAACAAATGCGAGTTGAAATCGCGCCTCAATAAAGGAAATAAAGTACCTAAAAGTTTTCAACAGCTGCACAGTCGTAGGTTCCACAAGCACAAAGTCGGTCGTTTCACCTCTGGTAACATACTTTCCTTCAACCAGAACCGGGACACTGCAGTTTGTGCTCCACACAAAGAACCACATCAATTCAAGCCAAGACGTATCCTGAGAAGTACCGTTTCCGGTTGAAGGAAACCAACGCAATTACAGTAACCATTGACTAAGTGTCGCCATGAACTTCGGATGGGGAGAATCTTCGCATTCGTCTACTTGAACAGAAGGAGGTTTCCAATACTCTTCACCATCACCCTGAAAACTTGAAGCACTGAGTGGGACAGACGCAGAAACCTTGACTTCAGGCTTGGAAACATGAGTTGCGCACCACGCAATGTCAGCATGGTAACGCATAATTACTTCAGCATTCTGTTGCAACTGAAAGAAGCTTTGTACCAGCTGGGAGTAGCCTGGAAGGACTTGACTTGTTCAGAGTTCAGGAATTAGTTTCTACGCCCCTCTTGACAGCCTCATAACTCCTTTTAGTTGTAAAAGCCCTTGAAAGCTGACGACAACCCCTGTGAAATACATACCCACGCAAACACTAGTTGCTAAAGCACACGGGAACATAAAAACCAACACAATCCCCTGTTTCAAAAGCGCATAAACACACACGCGCACACACAAAACAAAACAAAAACAACATAAACGAACGAACGAATGAAAACTAGCAAGCAAGCAAGTAAACAAGCAAGGCACAAACACACGGCACACAAGCCACAGACAAACAAAACTTCGCCCCGGGCCTTGGCCGCGTCCTCGAGCCAACGCTTCTCGATGCTCTCACGGGTGCGTCGACTTCGCAGGGAGAGGCTCACCTTGCTGCTTCATAAGTTAAGGGGTTAGGATTTAGGGTTCAGGGCTCAGGGTTTCTGTAAGGGTTTAGGGTTTTCAGGTTCAGGGTTCAGGGTTTAGAGGGGTTTAGGGTTTTAAGGTTCAGGGCTCAGGGTTTAGAAGGGTTTGGGGTTTTGGAATCAGGGCTCAGGGTTTAGAAGGATTTAGGGTTCTAAGGTTCAAGGCTCAGAGTTTTGAAGGGTTTAGAGTTTTAAGGCTCAGGGTTCAGGGTTTGTAGGGGATTCAGGGTTTTAAGGTTCAGGGTTCAGGGTTTATAAGGGTTTAGGGTTTTAAGGTTCGGGGTTCAGGGTTTACAGGGGTTTAGGGTTTTAAGGTTCAGGGTTCAGGGCTCAGAATTCTGGGTTTACAGTGTCCCTTCGGTTATGGGTGTTGTGCTCGTTGCTCTTTTGGCATCTTTGTTTGGAAGGGTCTGGGCCAGACTAGGGGTTTCCGGCTTTACCGTTTGGGCTTTGGGGGGGGGGGGGGTTAGGGTGTAGGGTTTAGGGTTTAAGGCTCCGTGCAGATTGTTCTTCATGCCTCTGGCAGCATGAAGCCTAAACTTACCTGAAGACTCTAAACCCTAAACTCCTAAAGCCTAAGCATCCCCAGATTAGGTTTGTATAATTCGGGTTCTATACTAAACAACAAGTGAAATCAAAAATTATTCCAAATGGATACCTGCTGCGAATGACGAAGAAGTAACCCTATTTGGTTTGTGGTTTAAGGCTACATCGAGGTCTCGGCTGCTCTCTTCAGGGACTGCTTTCAATTTCTAGCTTCCTGAGAAAGCAAAAAGGGCACTACTCCGGAACCTAGTAGACCCTAAACCCGCGTGGATTCCTTATAGAACCCCTTAAGGAGCCCCTTAAGGAACACCCTTTAAGGAGCCCTTTGAACAAACCCTAAGGTTCTAGATTTCAAGCACCGAAGCCTCGGTCTGGGGTTGGATTCAAGCCCTAAGCACATCATTTTGCTTGGAGGATCATGGGACTTAGTATGTAAAGTTTAGGGCTCCATTTAATAGGTATCTATAATGGGGTTCCTTAAAGGGATCTATAGGGGTTCTATAATGGGGATCATGGGACTTAGTAAGTATGGTTAGAAGCACCCTCATTGGGGTTATAAGCAGTTATAAGTATAGTTACCCTAATAGTAACCTTAGTTACTAAGTCCCATCATCCTTTAAGTGGTCTAGACCCAAGAGTAACCTAGGAATAAACAAAGGTGCCCCTCGTGGTTTAAAGGGGCCTCATTATAAGGGAACCTGAATCCTACAAAAAGCCCTGATCACATCATCTTATCCCTCAAGTAGGAATATTGTCTTTAAATCATACTTAGGGACCCTACTATAAGTTTAAGTTAAGGTATATTCCTCAAGGAGTATTGGAGTCTCCGGGTAAGCAGCAAGCCCTAAGCACATCATCCGTAAACCCTACACCCTAAACCCTAAACCCTACACCCTGCACCCTAAACCTTTTGCTGGAGGCGTTTCAGAGGGTGCGGAGTCTAGGGTTGATTTGAGAGCTTCCGAAACGTAAGGGTACCCTTAAAGGGAACCCTTTAAGGGTTACTTAAAGGGATCTATAAGGGTTCTATAAAGGGCTTTGGGTTTAGAGTTTAGAGCTTCCGAAAAGTAGTGGTACCTTATATTTTGGGGTCCTTAAAATAAGGATCCTAGTATTCAAGGTGCTATATAAGGGTCCCCTGTTTTCGCAAACTCCCGTTTATGTCTTCAGGATGTTCGGGTTGATGTAGGGCTCAGGGTTTAGCTTGGATGTGCCCGCAGACTCCAAGCGCCCTCTGATTTAGAGTCTCTGTGTTGTTTCGGATGTGCGTATTTCGCTGCAGGTGACGTCAGGTTTGTGGTTTACAGTTCGAGGCATAGGGGCTCAGGGTTTAGTGATCAAGGCTCGCGCTTTTAGGGTTTTGGGGGTCAGTTGAGGGTTCGGGGATTGCTTTGATTGCTTCTATATCTTATGCCTGTTGAATCTATATTGAAAAGGTTTGTATTCTGTTGCACGTCAAACTTACAAAAGCCATCCCGGAACCCTAAACACGGCCAAGTCGCCACGGAAGCCAAGGCCAGGGCCATGATCAGGGGCCAGAGAATCAAGGACTGACAGGGCGGTTGAGGGGTTTAGGGCTTAGGGTTGGGGGGTTTAGGGTTCAAGGTTAAGGGTTTAGGGCGGTTGAGGTTTAGGGTATGTAACAGTCGTGGGGTTAGGACAGGGCTCAGGGCTTGGGTTTTTGTTAAGTGTACTACAAGGCGGATTGCAGTTGGAAAGACTGCTGCAAGGACAGGGGTATATGAGGATTTCATAAGGGTCCATCCAGCGACTTGGGCTTCTCACTCTCTAGGGCTTCAGTGGAGATTTATCCTTGGGACTTGAGGTGACTTTAGTCCTAGGTATATACCCTTAATGTAGCCATTATAATAGGGAAGGGGTCCCCATTAAGGGTCCCTCCTTTTCCCCTTTGATTTGGGCTTTAAGGTTCAGGGTGGCCGTCAACTCCAGAACTCCAAACCCCAAAACCCAAACCTCTAAACGCCAAAGCCTCACAAGATTTCGAAGGCTTCTTCAGACACTGCGCGCGCCACAACATCCAAGGCCGCTCAGAACCTATACACAAGACAACATGGGTACAAAAAGGAACCCTGAACCCTATACCTAAACCCCAAACCCCGGTCAAAACCTTAGAATAAACAGCGCCTGGACAAGAGTCAAAGCCACGGTCTGCTGCCAAGTGGAGGCATCCTCGGCTGAAGGGGGTGGTGAAGGCGATCATGTCCTAATGTTGATCGGAAGGCAGCGATAAGCCCTACAAAGAGCTTCAATGTGACACCTGAAAGGAGTGCCAACCTAATGAAAGATGTAGTCATCACAGAAACAATCCATACATGTCGCATGTCTGCAGGAAGACGCATGTCTGTCTTTTCCTCACCTGTCCGGCCTCAAGGATGCATCTTGAGCCACCGCGGGAGCGATGACACGTCTGATCACATCAAGCAGTCTTCAGAGACTAACCTACCAGCGAGCTGGTTCTTTCAACACCCCCGCGACTGCGGATGTTAACTCAGTTGTGTCGAGAGCTCGTGCATGCCCATACTCCTTCGTAACTTGGCAACTGCACTGAAGGTAACTTGTTTAAAACAGGAACCTTGAGCAGTCTCAAAAGCGCGAGCTTCCACAAAACCTTGCAAGAACTGGCAGCCGAAGTAGAGCCTAAACATCTATGGATGAAGCTAGCTCATGGTTATCAGGAACGACAGGCCGCAACTTGTACAGTTCTTGCTTTTCCTTTCGGCCGGAAATGGTGCAATACGTAATCCGAATCAACGAATCTCTCATGACCTTCCTAACAAGATCAACCTTACCACCCGAAGCACTCAGCTTGGTGAGACCGTCTGCTAACTGATGTTCCCCATTCACCCAAAAGGTATTGAAACCGTAGTCCACCACTAAATCGTAGAGGATTTGGTATACAAGGGACTGCATCTTAACACCCTGTCGTGTCGACGGCTTCTCAACCTGGATGGAATCATATAAACCCTTGTTATCTGTCACAACTACACGAGGACACATCCCGTTGGTAAGCTTTGACTTTACATCTTTGGCCTTGGAACCCCAAATGATCTGTTCGTACAGCAAAAGGACACTCACTGAAGCATCTAGTGCTATGGTGGCCGACTGAAGCTCACTAGCGTAGCTACTCCAAACTGCGCGGTCAATCTTCGTGCTAGAGTATTCAGCTAGTACGGCTGGTACCTCCTTGCCTTCAAGAACCTTCTTAGGGGCCCAAAAGATCAGTGTACCGGCTTGTGAGTGGCCAGAGGGCCTCGAAGTGTGCCCTGCGTCGGTAAAAACTACGAGCGTGAGTTCTTCCCAAGCCCCCGCTACCTTGGAAAACGTGATGCTCTCAACACGTGCTTTGAGGGTACGGATGATTTTGTTGAGGGAAGACAAATGGTGCTTTTCGGGCTTGGTTCCATACGATGCGTAGTGAGATACATCATAAGCGATGTCAGGACGCGTGTTGACGGCTACCCACAAGATGGCACCTAGTTGTGACCAGTACTTTGTCTGCCCTTCGCGGTCTAAGGGTCCATCGGGAATCTTCCTAAGAGGCACTTCCTGTAGATTCTCTATATAATGAGCCTGATCAATGACAATCTCACGAGTCTGAGGATGCTGTCGCAGAAGAATGCCTGTATAGATAACGGGAGACACGTCAGCGTACTTCCTATCACCAAAAGGCAAACGAGCCATCAACTTCTCTAGGGCTTCCTCAAACTCAGGATTTTCAGTCTTTGAGCAACCAGCTATCAAAAGATCATCTACGTGCGCTCCTATAATCCCCAATATCTGGCCTGGATGACCCTTGCGCCTAAGGACATACAAGCAACGATCTGCAGGAACCTGTTCAAAACCGCAAGCTTGCAGCTCTCTCGTGAGCCTCCTGTACCAAGCTAAGGGTGCTTCGCTCAAGCCGTAAGGCACTTTCTTAATCCTAGCAATGACATCATCAGAAAGCCCCAACTCATGAACCAGATCCCTCGGAAGTTCAGCGTAGATGGGTTTGGTACGTTGGCTTTGATCCCCCGCTAGGAATGCTGTCTTGGCGTCTAGTGTAAAAGTACGCCACTGATGATGTGATGCCAATGTCAGGACTGCGTGTCTTCCTTGGCGTGTGAGAGTGGGTGATGCTGTTGTGTACTGACCCAAGTCGGGATCCTTGAACCCTCGGATCACCAGCCTCGCTTTGGCCTTGAGTGGTGAGTCAGGGCTCTCTGACACACGCTTCCACGTCAAAACCCAGCGTGAAGTGATAACACGATGAGGGTCTATTCCTTTCCTACTGATCAATTCTACAACATCGTTGTTCACCCATTGTCCCCATTCAGCTTTCTTCGCAAAACGGAACATCTCCCGCTGTTCAGCTGTGAGATGCTTCTCTGTAATCTCTGCCTGGCGCTTCTTAAGGGCTGCAGCACTCCAACACATTTCACGCAGGATATGTTGTATAGACTGCTCATCCCGAATTTCCTCCAAGTCAACATTGAATTCCAAACCAATAGCTACCCCTGTGTAGTCGTGCTCTTGCGATTCGGAATACCATGCCTCGCTCGCATGGTCTGAAGGCTCACCCTCAAAATCCTGAAACGCCCAAAAGCTACTCTCTCTGGGTGGAGGAGTCCGACTACGGGCTCTGCGAGGCATGGTCGGAACATGTGTCACTGGTTGGTTTGCTGACGCCAAGCGAGGAGGAGCCGTGCTGTGACTGGGACCAACTACCGCTCTAGACTGAGACATCTGCTCAACTGCCGGATGTAGCTCAGAAGGACGCTTATCCCCCCGCTTGGTTTCAGACTCAGCGTCGAGCAGGACGTCAAGTGGCGGCCGCGTGTCTGTAGCCGCGTCGGGCGGGTCGGGTGGGTGAGGTTGCAAAGGCTCTGGCAGAAGCGGCTCAGGCAAGAGGGGCTCAGGAACTGGACCGCGTGGCGTCCCTGGAGTAGGAGTCGGTACCGGTGTTCCGGGTATTGGAGTTAAAGAAGCCTGAGGTAAAGCTTCGTACTGACCCTCATCGCCGAGAGGTTCTACGGATATACGATCCTCAGGCTGTTCGTACTCCCGTTCCAGTTCTGCCGAGCTTGGTCTTTCGTTGCGAACGTCAATGCCTCTGGATTGCTTCATTTCACGAAAAGACTGTTGCAAACCGCTCTCTTTAAGCTGATTTCTAACCCATTCCGCCTTTAAGCTTACTGGACGAAGTTGTTCTGCACTATAGAGGAAGAGACGCCCATGCACAGTGACATAGATGACTCTAGGCACTAAACGGTCAGTGGAACTTTCAACCGCGATCACTTCGCCTGGGCCCAACCAAACACCTTTGCGCCCTGGACTTGAGGCATCGCCCTTTCGTCGCCGGTAGACGAGCACTAGCTGCCCCTGATAATAAGGACCTTTATAGGGCCTAGACCGGGTTGTTTGAGCGCGGGCGAGGCGATCGCGAACCTCACTCTGGACCCAAGCTGTGCGAGCTGCGACTCGACGTTGCATGATAACCTCATACAGGGGATCCTCATTGTGCAACCGCTCTGCAAGTAACCTATAGTCTTCGTCGCCCTCAGCCCAGTTGGGAGGCGCCTTGGGGAGCCGTCCAAACACCAGAACAGAAGGTGAAACCCCTTCGCAGCGCATTAGATCGTTACGGGCTTGAATTACACTGACTGCGGCCTGATAAGGAGAACATGTCCTCTCAGCCTCGAAAACACGCTGCGCTTGCTGTCGCAAAGTCCTGTGAAGGCGTTCAATCTGTCCATGCTGGTACGGCGCTTGAGCCGCCGACAGGCGCTGCACTACAGAGTGGCGACTTAGAAACGAGGAAAAGGCCTCACTCCTAAAGATTGTATCTGGATCACAAAACACGTACTCTGGAGGCCCATAAGCTTGCATCCAACCTTGCTCGAGTGCTTCAACCGCTGCGTTGGTGTCACCACTCTCCAATCGAAAAACTCGCGCAAAGGATGTTGCGGTATCAACGGCAGTGAGCAAGAACACTCGAAACTGAACAGAGTCGCGAACTAGTGTCAAATCCAAGGTGTCAATAGCCAATATAGAGTTGAAGGACCGCGGCTTAGCGGCACCAACCACACTATGTGACGCTGGAGGCTTCTGCGACTCACAAATCGCACAAGTGAACCGCTCAGCCTGACGAAGCAGCCACGGGGCCGCTCCAGCATCTCTCAAGTGCTGCAGAAGCTCAGACCTTCCACAATGACCTAAACCTACATGGAGACGCTGTAAGTAGCTGTGCACTGCTGCGGGGTCCTGCATGGGTCCAGCTCCTGGTATCGGCCGCTGACGCGGTTGCATGTCCGGTGGTGGCTGTGACTCTTGCGGTTGAGGCTTATCACCAAACAGAGTCACCACAAGACTTGCATTCACTGGCAATCTCAGTCGCCGAGTGCCACTTAGGTCACGACAAAAATCAACATAGAACCATTCCCCACCAACTCTCGCTAGTGTGGTGCGCTTGGTAGCAACCACTCCAACCGGCAGATTCACATAGCACTTCAGATGTCGCGCAGTGACCAAAGTGTCCACATCAAGTCCGGACCAGACTTGAAGCTGGGCCTGTATTGGCACCGGTAAATCATGTTTCTTATATCTGCCTGGGAACTGAAGCTTATTGAGTTGCTGAGAGAAATCTTTATCAAGAACCTTGAAGACTGTTGGTTCAGAAGTCGTGCCCGTCTCAGCCGGAAACGCCGCTCGAATCCCTTCTGATCCAACTAAACATCGTTCAACCTTCCTTGGAAGCTCGCTCTGCTCAAAATGCGATTGCTCGGACTCGGTCTCTTCTTCAACAGGGATTGCTTCGAACCCCTGCGACGTTGGCTTGTCCAAGCCCTTGACCAATTCCGTTGAAAGCATTTCGTTATAATCCTCACACCATGACGACACAGCTCTCCCTTGAAAGATTTCAGTGGCAACATCGTGCCTGCCCCGGCATGCGCAACAGAAGTGAGCCATGTGTTCAGCCATAGCCTTCTTAGTTGTGAACACCGTTGTCGGCCTTCTAATGGGAAGCTGTGTCTGCGGGTGCATGAGGCCAAGGCGGCACATGTCAAACGTAGCATATCCATGCGACCACTTTAACCCTTCAAACCTTCTATCCTTCCACAATGGAGATGATCTAGAACTGGTCGCATGCACATGTCGCTTAGCAGTGCACTGAGCCTCAATTATTTCGA